TGGGAGGGACTGGGGGGCAACTGGGAGGGACTGGGATGGGGTTATGGGGCACTGGGACGGACTGGGAGGGACTGGGATGGGGTTATGGGGGACTGGGAGGGAATGGGATGGGACTGGGGGGCAACTGGGAGGGACTGGGACGGGGTTATGGGGCACTGGGAGGGACTGGGGGGTAACTGGGTGGTTACTGGGATGAACTGGGAGGCACTGGGATGGACTGGGAGGATATAGAGGCCCATACTGGTTTCTGCTGGTCTGCGTTGACCACTATGGGGCTGTACTGGTCCATACTGGTCCGTAGTGATCCTTACTGGTCCATACTGGTCCTTACTGGTCTGTAGTGATCCTTACTGGTCCATACTGGTCTTTATTGGTTCATACTGGTCTTAAGTGACAGTAGAGAAGTAAGTGTAGGCCAACTCCTACTGGATCTTACTGGGATCTACTGGTTCCTACGTATCTCCGTTGACCACTGCTGGTCCTTACTGGTCTGTACTGGTCCTTACTGGTCCATACTGGTTCATACTGGTCTATACTTGTTCATATTGGTCCATAATGGTCTTGAGAAACCATAGTAGGTCGTAGACCTACTGGATTCTCCTCGGTCCAACTGGGATCCACTGGTTCCTATGGGTGTCTGTTGACCACTACTGGTCCATACTGGTCCATACTGGTCCATACTGGTCTGTGGTCATCCTTACTGGTCCATACTGGTCTTTATTGGTTCGTACTGGTCTTAAGTGACAATAGAGAAATAAGCATAGGCCAACTCCTACTGGTTCTTACTGGGATCTACTGGTTCCTACGTATCTCCGTTGACCACTGCTGGTCCATAATGGTCCATACTGGTCCATACTGGTCCTTACTGCTCTGTACTGGTCCTTACTGGTCCATACTGGTCTTTATTAGTTTGTACTGGTCTTAAGTGACAGCAGAGAAGTAAGCGTAGGCCAACTCCTACTGGATCTTACTGGGATCTACTGGTTCCTACGTATCTCCGTTGACCACTACTGGTCCATACTGGTCCTTACTGGTCTGTACTGGTCCTTACTGGTCCGTACTGCTTCATACTGGTCCATAATGGTCTTGAGAAACCATAGTAGGTCGTAGACCAACTGAATTCTTTTGGGTCCAACTGGGATCCACTGGTTCCTATGGGAGTCTGTTGACCACTACTGGTCCTTACTGGTCCTTACTGGTCCTTACTGGTCCATACTGGTCTGTAGTCATCCTTACTGGTCCATACTGGTCTTTATTGGTTCGTACTGGTCTTAAGTGACAATAGAGAAATAAGCATAGGCCAACTCCTACTGGTTCTTACTGGGATCTACTGGTTCCTACGTATCTCCATTGACCACTACTGGTCCATACTGGTCCGTACTGGTCCATACTGGTCCTTACTGGTCTTTACTGGTCCCACAGACGTTCTCATTCGTGGGGGTCCGCATCCCCTCCCCGCTGGCACTGATGGTGAATGGC